ATGGATGACTACGAATATGGAAGAAATGTTACGCCGCTTCCCCCTGCTCTGTCGGAGTTCAATTGGCACACCTTGGTACAAGATATCCTTCCGGGAGAATGGCAATTGATGGATGACTGGGCGTCCAAGAAAGCTAATATGAAGGATATCCTCTCTCATGTATCTGGCCTTCCTCGGTAAGCTCGACTCAAATTCTTCGCTCCAGCACAAGATTCTATTGAGCCTGAGCTAGTCATGACTACTCGTATGGACCACACGACACCCCGAAAGATGACGTATCGCGCATGCGCTATCTAAGGCCAGCTTTTGAACTCCGGGAACAGTGGTCGTATAACAACAAGGTAACGCGGTCTTGGCAAAAGTGCTAAACACATCTTTATAATGTCCCGAACAGATGTTCACGACAGTCTCCCACATTATTGAAACCTACTCCGCACAAACATACACCTCTTTTGTAGAGGATCGCATCTTCACGCCACTAGGAATGTCTTCTTCCACGTTCTCACCCGCAAAGGCTGGAAACACCGGCAGATTCACTCAGGGATGGACCAGCACTGGGAGACTCTTGCCCGAGTGTTTCACAGAAGAGATGGTAGCGCTGATGGCTGGTGCAGGCGGTGTGATTTCGAGCGCCGTAGATATGGCAGGTGCTTCTCGCCTTCGTTCGATTTACAACTGAAGACGTTTGTTGTCATCCAGTCTAAATGGGTTGCATTGTGGCTTAACAAGGGTGTGCACAACAATGTCACAGTCATACCGCTGTCTGTGTATGGAAACGCATCGCAGTCATACTCTGTATCCATCAGCGCCTCAGATGATCCTGAGCTCTCCATTGAAGGGTATGGGATGGGTTGGTTCCGATACTCTTACCTGGGCCATGATGTAACAAACGTTCATCCGTTATTGTGCATAATGACTGATGCCGGATTATTAGATCGTATACCATACAGGTTCGCTTCCAGGATTCTCCACGCGAGTCTCATTCCTTCCAAACGACGATGTTGGAGTCGTCGTTTTTGCCAACGGCGGCGATAAAGCAACACCTGTAGTGAATATCTCACACCGTATAATCGACGCAACTTTGAACCTGCGGTCAAAACCATCACCACCGATGTTCGTTATTTTCATTGCCAAATACCTTTCTCTTTACTCACCTATCACCGTTCCAGTAAACCCGACACGCCTGAGGAGAAACCAATCCAAGAAAACGTCGTTGGTTTGGAACTTGCACTCGAAGAGTTCTCGGGAACTTACGCCAGCGCTGGATACCCACCCATCACCTTTTGCAGCCCTTCCGGCAGCTCCCTGTATTGTCAAGACGTGATCTCTGACTTTACTGCGGTAGATGCAGGAAAGTCAAGCGCTCCGCAGTCGCCTCAGCTGTTCGCAGCGTGGCCTCGCGTATGGTCATCCCATATTCGAGGCGTGCATCGGTCTGGAAATACATTCGTGATTCAGTACACCTCGTTGTTCCCGGAAGGATATGGGCGCGACAGTACACCCTTTGAGACAGCGGAAATAGGGACCTCTGAGGCTACGGCTGAGTTCATTGTGGAAGATGGAAAGGTTGTTGGGTTTGGTTTGTTCGGGCTGGTGGGTCAAGTCACGGAGAGGGAGCGAACGCACACGACTGTGAAAGACCGAGCCGAGGTTTGGTTCGATAAGGTGTAGTAATACAAATGATGTTGGTATATAAGTAGCGCGTTGGCTGAAAAATGCCAGCACGGGAACTTCAGGCTCGTTTATACGAGCACTGGAACTATATCTACATACTTATGTCGAGAAATTTAACAAATCGCAACGATTCATACACTCATAGATATGCATGCCAACCTAACACACTTACTTCTTCGCCCTCAACTGCGCCCTCAAATTCCCATTCTCTGTCTGAACCGAATTAAGCTCGTCCAACAGCGCAATCCTCTGTGTCTGCTCCGACATCCTCATCCCATCTACCTCCTCTCTCGCCTTCCTCAAAGCCTCTGTGCACTCCGCAAGTTGAGCTTCAAGTTGCTTGCGTACCTTCTCAGGCGCTGCAGCAGCTTCTTCAGCGAGCGTAAGCGTTTTGGCGCTCAATGAGCTATTAGCCTCCGTGAGCTGTCGACACGTCTCTGCTTGATCCGCAGCGTGCATCTCCATCTCGCGGGCCTCACAGACCGCACGTTCGATAGCGTCTTGTAGGTCACGTATCTCATCCATCCTACCCAAACAAAACCGTTAAAAAAATGCACTCAAATCAAATAAGCAAACAAAGACCCACAATGCATTCTGCTTCGACACCAAAGAAGCATTTTGCCGCTCAAGCGTTAATACCTGCCGCTGATACGTCTCTAGCGCTGTATTACTCTCTTGTGCAAGTTTTTGAGCGCGTTCTGCGTTCTTCTTGAGTAGGTCGTGTGCTTGAGCGAATCGGATCAGTCTTTCGATCAGTGCTCGATCATCTATAACAAGCGCTTGAACGCGCGAGACAAACGCTTCGACGCTGAATGTGCCTTTACTCTGCTTTGGGGATGAACGGCTAGTTGCTGAAGTAGGAGTAGGAGGTTGGGGGCGGGTGTCATAGAGAGTTTTAAGCGCGCGTACGTCCATGTCAGAAAGGGTGGATTTGGATGGTGATGGCAATGGCGATGATCTGCCAGTGTTCGAGACCATGGAAGGGTTTCGGAGGTGTCGTTTGCTGTTGAGTTTCGAGGCGCGAAGTTCGGGCGCGGGGAGGATGTTCCAGATGGGTTGGAGAATGGCAATGATGTCTGCTGCTTCCCCTGTGTACTCGACTGGGGGTTCGGAAGGTGTTGACGAGGTATCGATGAGTTCCTGTATTTAAGATGAGCGCTTTTCATGCTGGGAAATGATAAAATGTTACCTTGACTCGTGACTCAAGGGATTGGACTTCAAGTTGTGCGTTGTCCCTTTCCAGGCGAACGGCGTCCAGATCCTTTGAGAGAGTTTCGTTCTTCTCCATGTGCACTCGCAGCTCATCTCCAAGGCGTGCATGCCTATCACTATGCCCCTGCAGCGCAGCTGACAACGTTTCAAGATGCGACGCGACCGAGGCAAGTAGACCCTGCAAGGACGTATCGGGGGAAATCTGGATACCATGCAGCTGCATGACCGTCCGAAGTGCCTCTGTAGCTTCATCCAACTCTGCTCGTGCTTCACTACCAGCCCTCGCATTATCCAGCTCATCCTGCAACGCACCAAGCTCTGCGAATTTGTTCTCCTCCAACAAAGTTCTCTCCGCCTCCCATTCCTCTCTTGCATCCTCGAGCTCATCCTGGAGACCACCAAGCTCTGCAAGTTTATCTTCCTCCATCACAGCTTTCTCCGCCTCCCATTCCTCTTTGGCATCCTCCCACTCCATCTTCAGCGCTGCGACCTCCTCATCCTTTTTCTGCAGTTCCGCATCGCACTTTGCCTGCATGTCTGAGAGTGCGCGTTCCATTTCAGTTGCTTCGCCGCTCTGCTCCTCTAAGACCTCTAATCGCCTCTCCAACCTCTCCACCTCCTTTTCCCTTGCAGACAACTGAGTCTTGTCCTTTTCCCACTGCGCACGTTCCTCGAGTAATCCTTGACATTTCGCATTCAGCTCCTCCAGACGCGGAAACTCTTGCTCTAGAGCAGCGACAGTTTCCTCAGCAGTCTGAAGTTCCATACCCATCGTCGTCTCAATCTGTTCCTTCTCGAGACGGAGGTGAGATAATTCGCGTGCCATCTCAGCTTGTTTCTGGTTCGCAATGCTGAGGGCTTCAGTTGCAGCGCGGAGCTTGTCTTCGAGCGCGACGACATCATTGACGGATGGTGGGGCTTTGGGTATTTGTGCGTCGGCGTGGCCCGCGAATAGGTGTGCACCGTCGAATCGCGCTTTCGGTGGTGGAGAGGTAGTCGTAACGGGGCTAAAGGCCGAACTCCTATTGGGCGTGTTCAAACCCGACGCATCCCCACTAGGCGTCATCTTTCTCTCCATCTTGGCGACAGAGAAACCAAGCACGCCTGTACGATGTTCCAAAAGTTTTCGTTCGACCTCGTTGGCTCGTTCTGAAACGCGCCATAGTTCCGTCTGCGCAGCGTTGACTCTGCGTTCTGCAGCATCTAGCTGGTCGTCTGTGGCTTTTGAAACTTTTTTGTGCGCAATGTTTACTTTTGAAAGAGATAGAGCTGCATCGCGGATCTTTGTTTCTAGCTTGAGCTTCCTCTGTGCTGCAGCGAGCCGAATCTTAAGAATTTGGTGTTCCTAAAGAAACAATTTATTAAAATTAAATATAAAGGCGCAGATCGAGTGGATGAATGGAAATCGAACCTTTTTGAGTTCTTCGACTTCTTCCCCGCTTAAGATCTCACATTCGCGACTTTCTACGATTGCTTCGCTTGTGAGAAGACTCATAAGGAGGTCGTCTCTTATATTGAGTAACCCTGAGGTGTGTTTCCATCCTGAAGCGGTAGACGTTCTTGGTTGTAGGGGTAAAATTCTTGGAGATGATGGACCTGGGACTGGGGTTGGGGTTGGGACTGGTTTTCGTAAGGGAGAAGTGACTCGGGATGAAGCAGGCGATGCCGAGCGGTCTGAGCCGTTGGCGTCGTTACCGTTCCCAGCGTCAGTGACGGATGCTACTGATGACTGTTTCTTGTTTTTCTTGATGAAAAGTCCCGGAGTTGTCGTAAGAGGAGAACTTTCGGAAGAAGGCAGGGTTGACGGTGCTGGCGATATAGGTGTTACAGGTGTTGCTGGTACAGGTGTTTGTGGTGTTGGTGAACTGGTAGACGAGCTTCCGCCTCCCCAAAGTTTGCGAACGCCATTCATTGTAGTATAATTGGCAGATTGGCCTGCCTGCAGAGAGCAGTGCGCAACTAGCCAGCAAGCCTTGGGAAATCCGGTGTTCGTTCATTAGGTATTGTTCCGGGGCGGTTGTTTATAATTGTTGAATTCAGAAGATCGGGAAAAACATTGACAAACAACCCATCGCATGCCATGATGCAGCTCTCCTGGAAGAGATAATTGACCTCACACGATCTCAGACTATCATTGCTGCATGCCAGATGCAACATGCAGCGGCGACGATAAAACACAACCAATTCAGACCAGTGCTATCACTGGGATTTAGACACGGCATGAACACATTGCCAGATCCAAGAGGAGACTCCTGCGGAGGTGGACGCCTTTGGTACCCTTTCCAAGTGGTGTCAAGGGTGGCCCGTGAACCGATCAACGATATGCAGCCTGGTTGCGCCGGTTCATGAGATTTTGGAAACGGATCCACTAAGTAGTTTCTGAAAATCGATGTATTCGAAAGCAATTCTCTTGTTCATCGTACAAACTAAGTCTACTCCGAATTCATCATTGCTCGGATCTGTCCTTCTCTTGCTGTGCTCACGATTTCAAAAGAGCAGGGAAATGGTTCAGGCTGACTTCGACGGAGTTAGCCCGCAGGTTATTGGATGCATACTAGGTCACTTACATCCCCACGCCGGTGGTGAACTTTGGCTTCACCTCAATCCTGTCTCCGTTTGAGTTTTTGGCATGATCGATGCGCAAGACAGCGAGTATGGCAGCAATTGCAGTCCACATAGTGTACTCTGCAAACCAACGACCTACCAAGGGCATTTGTTATTCTCAGCACTGCCAGATCATTGATCAGCCTACCAGGACAAATACGCCTGCAAGGGTCAGTGAATGATTGAAAATGATAGCAAGTGTGGAATATTCACCTGCCGTAACCAAAGGCAAAATGGTTGATGAAAGGGCTCTTCAGCTTCCCGTCAACAGTTAGATGGCGACTAGGATCGAAGCGCGATGCATCGGGAAATATGTCTTCATTCCGAGACAGTGCCCTGAGCAATTTTCAGCTCAAACCATTGCATGCACTCTACCCTGACATACCACTGATTGACCATTACTGTTGTACCTGATCGAACTACAGATGAGTCAACGGCAACCTTGACTCATACCAATTCGAACCTTTGGGTATAAAATGCCCCTCGTACACATCATCATCTAAAGTTGCATGCGCAAATCCTATGCAAGAGGTAAGTCATGCAAGCACAAAGCTATATTACTGCCGACAAACCTAGGGGGGCGACAGGATACCATCTCATGACCTCGCAGAGAATGGCATCAAGATAGGGCAGGGACGCCCTGTCATTAAGGCACGGCATTTTATCATGCCTCACAGTCTGATCAATTTCTGCACGAGCCCGGGCTTGGACATCAGGATATAGCACCATAGCCAGCAGGAATATATGCAATACGGATGCAGTCTGCAGGACATCAAAGTAAGAATCAGGACTGCTCAAGTGGCGACTCACGGTTTCCATGCCAGCTAAGATGCCGAATTCCCGTCAATAGATGAATTCTGTCCTGGTAAATAAAGACTCTTACCTACGTATCCTGTCAACGCAACATCCTTCATTGTATCTTCGTCAGCGTCATCGTGCGGTTGGCTGAGAAAGTCAGTGATTAATGAGTGTGAGGCAGTGCCATTTGCCTTCACGCAAACAAATCAGGCGAGATTTTCATCCACAACTGTGCGCAAACGTACCATCTGTGCCTTCACTTCGTCAAAGGGCTCATTCAAAAGCTGTTGAGATAATTCTCTATTGCGTCCCATCTGGGAATGTGCTCCACCGAAGCACCAAAACGGTAACTTCTCGACTGCAACCTCATGCTAAACATTCAAAATGATGTCGACGACAGAGGCACTCACGGAAAGGAAAGGCTGTGAACATGGCAGCCTTCTCGGGAGTAACAATCTGTTTTGTAATATCAACGAGTTCTTGCGCGCGGGTAAGATATGAGTCGTGAGCAAGGTCTCCGTATGTCACGGCTACGATTACGCTTCCCGCGTATCTGTCACAAGGATTGATCGTCAACTGGACCATACTTCACAACGACACCAGTAGATTAGATACGAACGCTTCAGTGCGGTGCTGTAGATCATCAGTTACAGTGGCACCTAAAAGATTGATGACTAGTCGATTTGCATGGCGAGAGTATATCTCCTGGTATGACGCCGAGACTTCGGCCTTGAGGACTTGATGGAAGATCTTACGATGTCGTCGTAAAGTCTCACCATACGGAAGCATTGCAGTAGCGAAACCCAGTCCAGCTCTGCATCATCAGTGGATGAAAAAAAATTAAATGAAAACAGGCAATGCATACAATTCGTTGGTGCGAATGACGGGGCGAGTACAGTAATTCGCAGAACGTTTTTCCAGCAACTCTTTCGCGATGGTTTCGGAGTTTATGATGATCAAGTCGATCCCAAGTATGCAACAGTAAATGATGTTTCCTGTGATCATTGATCAGGTATGAAATTGAATACAACAACCATTGGTTTGCTACCAACCATATGTCTTTCCCCACGCAGTATATGTGAGCCAAGGTCGTTTAGTGTCCAATTGTAGCACGTTGCCCAAAAATGGTATCGAACGAGGGCCAGGTGGCAGAGGTAAAGGGTAGACACGTCTGCGAATGAGACCCGAAGCGACACCCAGGGCAATAATGCAAGATATCCCTAGAGCGAGAATATCAGTGGAGAGCATGAGAAGGGATTATAGTCGCACCCAAGACATGTTGGTTGGTCTTCATATAAGGTCGGCAGCTTGCTTTTTCGGGTGCTGCCCGCCAGCAGAAGTGACGCAGCCAGCTGGCAAGCCCTTTGCAGGCATGGCAAAATACCGCCAGTCTGACGAACTTCAAGTCGGAACACGGCTTGCGGACAACCTAGATGGGCACCAGGCGCCATCAGAATCGTGTATTTTAAAAAGTCTTGAGGCGCCTTGCAATGTTGATCCAGCCTTGCCAGTTCCAAGCAGGCTGTTCTTACATGACTCGTACCAGACATATAGCTGCAATGCAATAAATGGAATCAGTGAATTTAACTGCAAGTCGAGCCGAGTCAGACCGTATATGATATAAGCTGGGACCATTTGCCGATTCAGCTTTTCATAGCTGGGGCCGCAGCTGAAACCGGCAATAAGGCGGAGCCGCGGCAACGCTCCGATGACTAAATTTGGCTATCGGCGATCGCGCTGTTGTGCCAATAGCGTACCCAACTCCTGGAGACGTAAAGTCGATGTTTCAGATTCTCACACTGAATGTCGTCTCTAATCACCCGCCCTCACATCTTCACCCCTCCTCGCATCTTCACCGACCTCACACGTTTACCTGCCCTCGTATCTTCACCCCTCCTCGCATTCTCACCCTCACCCGCCCTCGCATCTTCAAGCCTTCCTGCCATTCCTGTATCCCGTCCTCAAAGTACACGAAGATACCCATTTATGCATGGTCGCCGTCGGCATCATCGAGTATATCTCACGTGCACCAGATGGATGGATATGGATATGGGGAAATTGATGAGGAAGAAGAGGGGACTAATGAAGAAGGAGGTGAGCCTGGTCTTGAGGAGGCCAACGATGAGGTGGGACCGGAGGATGGTGAAGATGATGCTGTAGATGAGTATGAGGGGTACACAGAGCTCTAGCAACTGATTGTCTTGTACGACACTGAATTTCAGTGATTTCTTGAATTGTTGCGAGTACTAGGATGGGTAAGCAGCGCTGACTTGGTAGCGAGAGTTGATAAATATGATTTTAGACTCGACCTTGCGGCAGCGACGAATGTAACCCAACAGTAGTCTTTTAATTATCATACAAGTCGCTACCGGTCTTTGCTACCTCCATGCAAGTAACCACCAGTCTTCCCGCATCCATGCAAATCTCCGTGACTTGAGATTACAAGAAATTCACCTGTCTGCTACACTCATACAAGATCACTGCAAGACCATATAATATGATAAACAGACGTGCGTGCTGATATAAGCTTCACAAGACCTCCGCCTCGCAAACCCCCAGACTGATATAGCCCCATTCCCATGTAGATAAAAACGCCTGTATAAATCGTACACACCAAGCCTACCCATCCTCATTCCCACCTCCGAGTCATGTATCAACACCCTTGTATACCACATATACATCTACCTGTTAAAAGGCGCGTCTAATACGCCTGTTTAGGAACGAGCGCACCGTTTCGGGTCTTAGCTCGTCGTCGGCCGAATGTCCTGTTAAACGGTCTCAGAATCATATTTTTCTATTCCTACTCTACCCGCACATAAAAACGAACCCTCGTAGAATTAGGCATCTCAGTCTTCCTCCCGGATACTGAGATGTAAGCACCAGTACCATCGTATAACGTATCATCAGCTAACAAAGACTTAGCATACCTTTTGTCATAGGTACTTTTAGCACGTGGAGTCTTCCTCCCGGATACTGAGATCATACCTTTTGTCATAGTTGTCCTTCTCCCCGCGTGTCCGCATCCTCGAAGTCAACACTACCCTCACTCGCCTATATGGTTTCATCACGCTCACCCTGGCGCACGCCAAACAAGTACCCGGTTGCACCTTTCGTCCCCAAGGTCCACCCAGTCACCACTACATGTTTGCACCATGTAATCCTGTACCTGCCCGCCACCGGCGGCCGAGTACGTGTCAAAATTTGAATATGATAGCCCAACATAGATTGAAATGTCCTACATGAGCACTACCGTGAATCTGCAAAGGACAAAAATTGGAATAAAAAAAAAAACTTCACAAGACCATATATGATCATGTACGCTAGTAACGCTACGTGTTGTTTTGTTGATGAGTACTATCGACGGAACGCGCCATTTGTCGACGCTCATATACGGACATCCAGCTGTTCAGATTCCATCGATTTCCGTCATTCCCCATGCGAGGGCATCTGTCCGATTCTTACTGGGAGCCTCAGGCTCGAGCTCCGGCCCTTTCTGCCAGTGCAACCTGTCGCCTTAGACCGCAACTGGTCACGGATTATCGATTACTGACCGGATGGAACCGACAAAGAACATCCTCCACAATCGCAATAGTTGGCAACTTGGAGGTGACGTCGAAAACTTATCAATTTACTGATCGGCGGCGGTGGAATGCAGGTAAGGCCAAATTTCTGTCCTCACATTGTATAAAAGGGACGGTATGTGACATGCCATCTATTCTCAGCCCCCTACAACTCATAAGCTCTATTACTGATCATCAGAAATAAGAGGTCATGGATGCTCGCACAAAGACGATTTACCTCCCGGATACCATGACCAACTGGCCATGGCCTCGCGCACTGGTTAACCCTCATTACGAGGCTGTGAAAATCGAAGCTGGTTTTTGGTTTCGTAGTTTCGAAACTTTGGGTCCAGGGTTATTGAAAGCGTTCGACAAGTATGATTTAGGTTGGAGCTATCCACGATGTTACCTCTGAAGATCGTTGACGTGTATCGTTTTATAGCTTACGCGGTAGCACTGGCTCATCCCACTGTATCAGGAGGTTAGTATCCAACCCCTGACGCACACTACTGAGCCTTGACTTTATTCTTGCCGAGTAGAACATCTTCGAGTCGGTTGCGAAGTACTGGATGTGCAACTCGTTGTAGATGAGGTCACCGATAGAAGCACTGCAGCAGGTGCCGAAAGGATAGTAGACATCGTCATCGATGCCTTACACAATCCTTACAAGATACGACCAGAAGGTGAATACATCGTTGGAGAAATGATGCGACAGTGAGTACCCTCTGCCGGTGCTTGTTTGAGCATGATTCTGAATTTTGTGTAGATGTTCGGCTCGTGCGATGCAGACCATAAGCACGACTTGTTACCCCCGCTTTATTGATAGCTTTACGACATACCTTCGTGCAGTAGCTGTCGAGGCTATTGACCGCGAACAAAGACATTGTCTCGGTATCGATGAACATTTCAAGTACCGACGGGAGACAGGTGGCATGTTACCTTGGTTCGCACTATGTGGAATGGAGATGAATCTCCCTGATGAAGTGTATCACCATCCCGCCATCGTGGATATGCTTGAATGTGCTGCAGATTTGATTACAGTCGACAATGTAAAGTCGTACTAAAGACCTGGTTTCGAGTATGCTGACGATTTTAATAGGATATGGTCTCGTACAATAAAGAACAAGCGGACGGGACCGACTATAATTCGTTGATAACCGTTGTCATGGTAGAGTTTGGCCTCGACATAGGTAGTGCGATGGGTTGGGCAGCCGCCTATCACACCAAACTTGAGACAAGGTTTATCAACGGTCTTGCGAACATCCCTTCATGGGGCCCTTCCACCGACATCCTAGTCAAGGAATACCTTGATGGAGTAGGAAACTGGGTACGAGCAAATTATTGCTGGAGTTTCGATGATCAAAGGTCCTAAGAAGTTCCCATTGATATATTGAATTGTCATTTACGATGAATTATTTTTCAGGTATTTTGGCACAATGGCTGCGGAGATACAGGAAAGTAGGCTCGTCCCATTATGGCCAAAGGTCCACAGCGAAGCCAGCATCCTGGGTGGCGAAGGACCATGCTGATTGCCGCTGCGGTCAGTAGCAGGTTTTTTGTATTTGTTTCAATCCATTTCCCCTGGATAATCTGTTAGCTGCCATTCGTCTACATGTTCCTATGTTGTCTCATGGTATTGCCTCTCCGAATCCTACGCATTTGAAGGAACTGGCTGATGGGGAATGGAAATTGACGCTCTACAGGAACTTCCGTCATGACCGTGAGCCTGTGAATGAAAAGGAAAGCTTAACGACGAATAGACGAGATGCACAGGTAGCACTACCGTGCAGGAGCGCGTTACGATATATGCAAGGAAAACTGCTGTGTTCGCATGCAAGACTCCCTCGCTCTTTATCTCTGCAAGCTCATTAGCACTGCCAGCGGTAAGACATTAAGAAACCACGACGCCTTCAACAACCGCGATATATCAGGATTCGTAGATGCATCCAAAAGTGTGAATAGAGCGTCTTCATCTAAGGTTGACGGGTCAAATATCGTCTCGGGTTCGAGCGCTGGCTACAAGTGTGAAAACAAGTACTGTGCACCTAAGAATTGACCTACGATCAAAGCTTGTACAAACTCAGGAGTCTGTGAAGCAGAGCAAGAATGCCTGCATTGAGATATGACTGTGCATCGTCCTACGAAATGAGTTAATGGGTTCGGGTGGGGATTTATTTCGCAAGACGTACCCTGGGACCGACGGCCTCTGAGACCTTTTTTGCAAAACGATGCGATTGCTCTGATGAAATGTCATCCACCACAGGATGGCTCAAAGATCGGAATGCAGTATCTCAATCGATATCCATTTCTTCCTCGTTCAGGTCGGAGTAAAGATGCTGAAATTCCGGGAGGTTCTAATCATCATCAGGTTGCTTGAGGCAGAACATAAGGCGGATGACGAGGGAAAGGGAGGGCGCATTGGGAATGAGTGCCAGCAAATTCCTCGCAAGAGCAGTTGGTTCGTTACTCTTTGCAGCGTCTAAGGCAGGCACGAGGAAAACAGAGGGATGGGTGGGTAAGGGAGAATCAGCAGTTGGCTTGGGTGGGCTATCTGAAACATCATCGCTTTATATTGCCATGATACTATTTCAAAGTCTCCACGTACAATCGTTGAACGAGTCGCGAACTGAGAGTTTAGTTGGAAAAGACAAGATATAAATGGCATTCAAAGTACCTCAGAGCCCATGTTCACTGCATATTCCACTACACCGCCTGCGTATGGGATGACGGTTGGCATGAGTGCATTAGGTGCCTTGAGCTTTTGCTTCGCGTCCACCAGTGAGCTCACGTGGTAGGCATTGAAATATACATCAAGAAAGGGCGCTTCTGGTCCTGTGCGGCCGACTATATGGTTATCTCTATATTATGCAGCATGATCAAAAATAGTTGCACTTACGCGATGGTGTCTGGACACTGACCAAAGGGCTGCACGTCTGTGGGAAATATCTTGATCGAATGCACTCTGCTTGGTGACGAGAATCTGATAGCAGAGAGCATTGACGGGCCTGCAGGACTGAGCGTGCACCATTCCAGTAGCATTATTAAGTTAAACCGATGCTCACGTTAATGCTTGTTTGGATTAGAGGCTCTTGCCAAACAAACTTCTACTGAGTCATCACCGATAACAATTAGACGATTCCCTACCATGACAGTGGATATGATGTTTCGATCCCGAACTTGTGCTACGCCTTTGCGACTAAGTAGTAAGTACTCCAAATATAAACAAAGTTGGTGAGTGGTGTATTCTGGCCTATCAATATTAAAATCAACGGTTTGCCTCATAGACGGGTATCAAGAAGTAGAACGTGCTGCTCAGGCAGCCCGTGCAGAGGCTGAATGGCTCGTGCGCAATGCGGAAGAAGAATGACGGCGCTTTGAGGCAGAGCATCCGGGAGCTAGGAGAACGCAGGCTGCCCTCGAAGAGGCCGAACAACAGCGCCGCGAGAGAGCGCAAGCCGAGGACGCAGCATGTGCCGCCCGTAAGGCTGCAGAAGCATGGGCTTGCGAAGAAAGACAGCGTGCCGAACGACTGGCACGAATGGCTGAGGAAGAGTGGTGCAGACAACGATATAGGGACGGCTTTGCCTCTAGCAATGGACGCACCCTGCATCAAGCACTTCAGCGGTTCTGACTCCGTACGCCTCGTCTTCGATTATTTTCCTTTTCCGCACATGCTCTTAATGTTTCACCTTTGTTCATATTCCTTGTATGTCAACCTTTCCCTTAACTGCTTCGTCTGATTGTTATCTCACTTCTCCCTTGCATTCATACCTAGACTTTTCCCTTTCATGTTTCACCACTCGCGCTCGCTTAGATCTCTCACATATGAAGACCGCATGCGTATCTCGTATCTTCAGTGAATCAGCTCCCTTCAGTACTCAACGTTTATGTAAGTCCGTCCGAAGCCTCTCGCACTACTCGAAGTCAGCTACACGTTCAGTTCTCAGGAGGGTCTGTGACCTTTGAAGTGGTTTGTGTCTTAACGGGGACATCATAGAGACAGTCAGGAGTATCGAAGACTCGGAGCTCACATGAGTGGGCGGGAAATATCGATCATGCACAAGGGTGGCGGCAGGCGCAAGGTGTGGGAGGTGATATATCTGATAGACTAGAACAACAAGTCAGTCTACATCAGTATCATGATCATTTGGTATCTAAAATCTAATACTTTCATTTGTGACATTTTTCTGTGGTACAATTATTCTCAACCGCAGTAGTACGTATTCACACTGACACCCGATACAAGCAATCATACTTCCTTAAGGGTACGAGTTATATCATGCATCATGTCTATGGAATATCTGACGAAAACCCTTGGAATTACTGCATTCAGACAACATGAATTATGATTTGAATTAATTCATACTTGAAATTCAATGTATTTGTAGATCTCTTTGTAGTGTAGCTCAAGAAGACAAAATTTGAGTATTCGATACGACAAGACCGTGCTATATCATCACACCGCCGGATCGCGAGTTATTTCACCACCATTGAGCAGCGTTTAATCTCCATCCAGAGCCAGCCGCCAAAGCCATTTGCCGGACGTTCTCAATCATTTAGTGACTCACCGTTGCTAAGAGCTGTTAAGACGGGCAACGTTGCAGCCTCAACGAGCTTGGGAACGGGAGCAACCATCGGACCAGTCCAGGCTGACACGCGCAAGCATCGCCGAAGATCACAGTCAACCTTATACTCGGAGGTCCGAAATATCTATCGGTGCAACACCAGGGACTGTAATACGAGTGACACAGCCTGCCTGCGAGTGGAATAAGGGCTGTTGGAAATACTGACTCGTGTAGATCGCGGTGATGGATCGCGCGGACGCCGGAATAAGGGATTAGACGCTCTGATGGGCCTATATATAATTGTACTCTTGCGCTCTTTCGGAAGTGGTTGTTCTGTGCTGGTTTATGGAATACTTGGGAAGACCTCAAGAAGAATGCGGAGATGAAAGATTAAAACAACATCACTTCCCTGCTCCGCATGACCTTGTTTTGTTGTCCATCATGTAGTGTCGGTCCGAGTTACTGCCTTGAACCGCTCAGTACATGATTTTGCTCGCTCATATAAAATTGTTCGGTGAAAACCCTACAGGAGTGAAGGAGTGAGTGTATACGATGCACGTACATCCATCGTGGATCCTGTCTACCAGAATGGATTTCGTGTGGATTTAATTTAAGGCAAGGCCAAGACCAAGTCCTTCAATTTTTCGAAGTTGGGTGTGCCGTGTCCAGTGACTACAGATATGATCAGCATGTAGACACGTCATAACTCTGTTTGCCTTCATGAACTCACCAGGATCCCATCCAACAGTGGCCTGCATACAGGTATCACATCAGCAATGTGACCTGAAGGCGTGCAGACATGACCTACATTGAAGCCCGAAGTTCCACATCCCGGGTTGTTCCCTTGGGTGATATCATTTAATGCAGTGTAGCCAGTGGAATATAACAATGGATTCAAAAAACCAAGAGGAGTCTTTCCAGCATTGATGCGTGCGTCGTTCAGCATGGATACAAATGCGGCAAAGGTGGGCGAAGAACAGGATGTACCACCGATTGGACTCTCCTGACCTTTATAAATGACAGAGAAGTTTTCTGCTTGTGCTGCCACGTCTGGATATGCCTAGAAAAACGGTTTCCATAAGATTTACGCAAGTTGAAGAGTCAACATACACGTCCGGTCCTAGAGATGATGAGTCAATTGTGCATTGTGCGTTCGCCAGCTTGTGGTGACTTACGAGTTATAGAGACCTTTGAACGTGCCGGGAGCGAGCATCGCTAAGTATTCAGAGACAGCAGCCTCCTGGTACGCAGGACGAGCAAACTTATACATTGTAATGTATGGGTCAGAAGGTTTTTATGTGGGGCAGAGATTACTTACATAGTTGCTGAATCCACCACCAGAAAAAGACACGGCAGTCTCTGGGATGTTGACAGTACCACCAACAGCAGTCACGCTGTGGTCCAAATTGGTTGCTGTACTCCTTGATTAGAAATACCACTCACTATGGGCAGGAAGCGGGGAATGCCGGTAGGAATTTTGTAACATTGTGCCCATCATTGGATTTACATAACTGAGTGGCAGGGTCGGCACCGCCAGCACCGACACCACCATCACCAGAGGAGAACAACAAAGAAACACCGCGAGCACCGAGAGACGCCATACCAGCGCAAACACGGCTCGCATAGGCGTACGGGACAGTTTGTTCATTATCACCGTAACTGGTAGAGATTGTCTGAGGAATATCATTCTGTGAAAGTAAGTGTTCAAGCCACTGAAGATCATAGTCATTAATACATTCAACCGCAATCGTGATGGTTTGAACGTACGTATGTGTATGGCTCATTTTGATTCTTCGGGTACACCAAGTCAGGGATGTAAGGAGGCCTTCCACCAGTCGTGTAGAACGTTCCGGGAGTGGGCCATACGAGTCCGAAACCAAACTGAGTGTCAAGGTTGGCTTCCCCACCTGCCTCCTTATAACTCTGATTGTTCTTTCCGCCTGTGAAGCAAATGAACAAGATGACTATCGACGAAGTCCGGACTGCAACCCACCATGGATAGAAACCAAAGTATAATTCGAACCGTAAGCAGAAGGATTTTGGGCCAGGTAGAATTGCTGAAGGTCCTTATTATTGGCATACTGTTCAAGATAACCAGTGATACCCAGCTTGTTGCCGTTTGTGGCGGTTGTTTTATAGTTCTCTGCATTATACAACTGTCTCAAGCAAGAAAGGGTGATCGTAGAGTTGCAGCTCGCGTCGACGGGATTGCCTGCAGGCCCCGTGATCGTTTTGCCCGGCGGGCATGGCGTCGCAGGCTGTGCCTGGTTAGTCCAGTGCAGTGTGCTCTTGAATGCCTTGAAACGAGCGAACATGGTCGTAGGCTGAATAAGATCAACATGATGGTGCAAGATGTCAGGGAGACTGTAGCTCGTAGTCCTGACGATGTTCTCTCCGGTCTCAGCGTGTTTATAAACATGGTAGGTCTAGAAATAAACTGTCAATGCATTGTAATCTCCAAAGGTGGCATTGCCTCGCTCACAGTATCCAGCATCTCTTCTGCGAGACCGACCGGGACACGAATAGTAACCCAATCGCGTGCGGATGAATGGATAACTTCTTCTTCTGCCAGACCGTGTAAGGTAAGCCATTCGCTGACGACGGCCAGAGTCTCAGGGTGGGGGGCCATGAGTGTCTCAGTCTCCTGCTTCGACAAGTACGCCCCGTAACGTGCGTGGCTAGGATCGCTTATCTCCCAGAGGTGCTGCTCAAGTTCCGGGAACCTGGGCTGAGAAAGAGCGATCTTGAGCTCGAGCATGTCGTGCTTTGGTGCGGGAGCATGCTTGTACCACCCGGGGGGTGGACCGTGGATACTCTCTTTCACCTTTTGCTGGCAGCCCTTGAAGGGTACAGTGCTAGCGAGAGCAGCGGCGAAGGGAAACACAAGCAGAGTGACGAACTTCATCGTCAGTGCACAACACAAACTGGGTTGGTACTCACGATGATTTCTCGAGTACTTACATATAGTGAGATCAACATTAACCAAGACAATGGAATACGTATTCGATGGTTTTATTGACGTGGCCGGCTGAGCGCTGACGTTCTTCGGTCACTAAGCTGGCAAATGATAAGGCTTCGTTATACGTGTCGATAGACCTGAAACATTATGTTTGGCCCATTAATTTGCTTCTACCGTGACAAGCCCGATTGCTCAGGCTAATCTCGGAGAAATACACTTGCCTGTCATGTGTATGAAGTAAATCATACGGTTGGGGTGGAGTAAACCATGTGGTTAAAGTTGCCATGATCCTCCGCCAGCACACAAGAGATTCCTAGTATATTCACTGCATCACAACAAAGAACTCAAGGTGTTGTTGAGGAGTGCTCTTCGCGTGTGAAACAGCCATAACCCTGTATCACTTGACGTGATTGACATTGTATGAGCACTGCGTGTGCTGATCGTGGGCCCGACGTTGTCCACACGAGAGGTACTAGTAAGACTTAGATATATCCATTGAATGCATTCCTCATTCATATACACGTAAACGATCACATGACTTTTCGTGAACTACCTTATGTAATTAAGAGAGTTTTCCCGTCACGATTGTTCGCATGTGCACAGTTTGTGCGTGCACTTTCTACTTATTGCACGAGAAAAATAAGTAAGGTAAGGGACCAGATGTTTTACTGATGTACAGTGACAGTGGCACCGAAAGCTCAGCGTCGCCAAAATCATCATGGGTCGCAAAAGGCCTCATGTTGTACGCACTCGAATTGAATACTGCCCCAAACAATTTACTACATTGTTGGTGTGCCTCCATAGAAGCCTTGGTTACGCTTGGTATCTTTTTCCATGCCTGAAGTCACATACCGATATCGAGTATGAGTAACCACCTGTAACCACTAGAGCTCGCTTCATGGTACCATTGTGTGTCCCGTCATCGGTCACGGTAGTCCAAGACCAGCGATACGGGTGAAATAGCCATGAGCTGATCCCCAGAGTCATTTGCCTCAGCGAGGAGTGTAACTGTGATGGTTTCCAAGAGGTTCGTTGTGGATTCTTCTCTCTTGCTGCCAAGTTATCGTGCACCATGATATCCTGGGTGTTCCGAATTCACAAGCACAGTGTCTCATGCATCATGTTTTACTCTCCGCGACAGAACGCCACACAAACCTTACTTGACAGTTTATCACAGTTCATTTCATCCTGCATGCTCAAAAAAATGAACTGACGACATAAACCGTTGCTGAGTAGCATGTTGCTTACGAATATGATGGATAGAAATAATTGAAATGAGTTCTGATTGACGAGCACTTGTGACGAACAGCAGTGCGCGCTGAGATTAGAATATGCCGAGGCGGCACGACGCAGCTCGCTGCTCGTTGAACGTTGGAAGTAGACAATCAGTAGACAAAAACACATACCGTGACACTCATCCCCCGCTTGCATTGTCATAAGTTTATCAGAAGGTCAATAGAACTGAAATGAAGAACGCATCACTATGGCCGCATCATGATCATCATCAGTTCTCTGATGCGGCTATTGAATCGTGGGAAGTATAGCATGAACTTCTGTCTTTTTTTTTCTGTTCTATTCCGCTTGTATCCCGCGGTATTTGTGCTCTACGTACGAATAATCGCCCAGTAACTATGGAGAGAAATATTTGACAGCTTGAGAATGTCTTATATAATTACAGGTACCGGTGGCGCCATTCGCAAGCCTGGTCATTAAGAAGTTCAATTCACAGGGCAGAACTCATCCCGCAAGCCTCTCGGCCGTTCTGACTGCAACTTGCCAGCTTGAAATGGGTACTATATCACAGTTATCTTATCACGGTCAATGGCCTGATGGGCCAGTCGTCCAATCAAATCAGTACCACGGGGAGACTTGCATGTGGATCAAACCGATTTTCTCAGCAATGCATGCGGACTGAGCTCTGAGGATCCGAGTTGAGAGCATGATCATTTGGGGAATCGGCTAACGTCACACGGGATCGCCAAAATTATCGCATATAACAATCTGTCAGGTTCTCGTGAGTGCAAGCATCTCCCGTACTGACGATGAGACTCATCTCTCTGCTCGGGCTCCCCTTTGTGGCTGCTCTCGCTAGTGCAGCAACACCCTTCAAGGGCTGCCAGCACAAGGTGAAAGAGAGCATTCATGGTCCACCCCGCGGATGGTCCAGGCATACTTCTGCGCCCAAGCACCATATGCTTGAGCTTAAGATCGCTTTACCTCAGCCCAAGTTCCCGGAGCTCGAGCAGCACCTCTGGGAGGTGAGCGACCCTAGTCACTCACGTTATGGGGCGCACTTGTCCAAGGAAGAGACTGATGCTCTCATGGCTCCCCATCCTGAATCTTTGGACATTGTCAACGAATGGCTTGCTTCATACGGTCTAGCAGAAGAAAGTCTCCTTCGTTCGTCTGCAAACGATTGGGTCACTATTCGTGTCCCAGTCAGCCTTGCCGAAGAAATGCTGGATACCGTGAGCAAAATAATATCGTCTCCAGAGATTACAGTCCATTGACTCCTGGATGTCTAGACTTATTCTGTTTATAAGCACGCTGAGACCGGAGAGAGCATTGTCCGCACCACGAGCTACAGTCTCCCAGAGATCTTGCATGATCATGTTGACCTTATACAGCCAACGACCATGTTCGCTCGCTTCAAGGCGTTCAAGAGCACGTTGCACTGGGCTAACCAGGTGCAACCTCCAGTCTTGAGCACATCTAGTGGAACGATCACAGGACCTGCAGGCAATCAGGTTGATGCAAGCTGCAACAGCTCGATCACGATTTCATGCTTAAAGCAGTTATATAATTCAGTAGCTTACAACACGTCTGCTACGAACGGCAACAAGATGGGTCTCACTGCTTACCTGGACCAGTATGCCAACAACATGGACCTCCAACAATTCTTCCAGCTTGAAAACCCATCTGCTTACGGTTCAAACTACACTTTCGTTTCCGTTAACGGTACTATGCTGCACTCAAAGCTCGGTAGCTATGTTACTGATTTGTTCCACAGGTGGATTGAACAATCAGTCCTATGCGGCAGCAGGCGTTGAAGCTAACCTTGACACTCAATTTGGCTTTGGACTCACATGGCCCACTCCTGGAACGTTTTACTCGACTGCTGGCGAGCCCCCTTTTGACCCTGATGTGCTCACGCCGACTGACACGAACGAGCCATACTCATACGTAAGCTTGGGCCACTATAATCTAACTTCTAATGTGCTGATGTCTATGACCCCAGTGGCTCGACTACGTTCTTTCGCAGCCAGAACTTCCTCAAACAATCTCTACCAGTTATGGTGACGATGAGCAAACTGTCCCGTTCACCTATGCAGCCCGTGTCTGCGCTGGGATGGCAGTTCTCGGTGCTCGTGGAGTTTCTGTCTTGTTCTCCTCTGGTGATTCTGGTGTTGGTGATGGCGATCCCAACCCTGCCACACAGATGTGCTACTCCAATGACGGGCTCAACGTCACGAAATTCTTGCCCGCTTTTCCCGCTTCCTGTCCATAGTGAGTGATCTTGGTGATCGAGGAGAGGAGTATAACAACTAAAAATCGAATAAAGTGTCACGGCCGTGGGCGCCACTATCAATATCCCAGAGACTGCTGTATCCTTTTCCGGTGGTGGCTTCAGTAACTATGTGAGGAATTTGACAGCTATGATTGACACCTACTGGAATGCCAACACACTCCCATAGTTTGTTCGTCCAGCCTACCAAGAAGTTGCTGTCTCGGAGTACCTAACAAAACTCGCTCCTGGTACCTACGAGGGTCTCTACGCTCCGTAAGTGCATTGAGCTACTCCTATTGGTGTACATTAATCGAGTCGTTTATCTGCAGCGAAGGGCGTGTAAGTGACCTCTTCAGCGTGTGAAGATCTGAATGCTAACATCCATACAGGCCTATCCCGATGTGTCAGCCCAGGGAGTGAACTTCCTTGTTGTCTACCAGGGCCAGACGATACCCGTTGACGGCACATCCTGTTCTTCACCCACATTTGCCTCGTTCGTATCCATGCTGAATGACGCACGCCTTACTGCCTTCAAATCCCCTCTCGGCTTCCTGAACCCTTTCTTGTACTCCGCTGGGTACAGCGCGCTAAATGATATCACCATGGGCCACAACCCAGGATGTGGAACTGAGGGCTTCAATGTATGTCATATCTGCATGCTCTCAAGTCGTGACACTGATCTGATGCCCGTGCGCAGGCCACGACTGGCTGGGATCCTGGTGAGTGCATGCATTTGGCAAGTGATTTCCTATTTCGCTGACAATACCTGCAGTTTCAGGCTTTGGGACACCCAACTTCGAGAAATTGTTGGGACTGGTCTTGAGCATGCCCTAAATATAGTAGATGAATAAATCATCTATGATGTACTTATCTATGCTGTGTACACCATGAATAAGTTAAGGTTACAACGGTACCATTACGAGAGAGGCCATCCGCTGAAGTCAATGACTAAAAGTCATTACAGGAAAGTGCACGTAGTGTTTCCCCCTACAATCGTGGACCGCAGCTTGTAAGCAACTAAACGTTGCTTCACACAGTGTGGACACCAGTGAGAAATCGTGCATCCACCATCATGTCAATGATTGCAAAGTTCATTACAATTCAACCTCGTGCTCGATTGACATTGAACAAATTCAGGCATATGCAGAGTACCTAGTAGAAATGGTGATTCACACAAGTAGAACAAAATATTCTCAGATGTTGCGGTATACGGGTGGTTCAACACGACATCTATCCTCTGCTCGAGTCTCACATATGTCAGTTTCCTGTCACATCGTGTTGCATCATTCTCTCCAATATTCACCACACCACAGGGAGGTAAACCAAACAAAGGCCGAAGATATCGCTCGCGAGGTCAACATTACGGCCGCTATCCGGTAAGTAGCCGTGATAAAATGAGGTCGTGCGAGGTTCTGCGCACGCCGACGAAGGGTATGGTATGGCACGTTAAACCGGCCAGCTGCTGCCAATCGGTTTTGAGCCCCCTGTTAAAGCGCAATCTTTGTGCAAACCCTCATTTGCACCAGCAAGTCGTGGTAATACGAATTTCCGAGTCGGCGACACCTAGTGCAGACTATGCAGAGAATTAATTCTATTCAGCAGCCTATCAGCGACACTAGAATGATCAGTGTGATTACAGTGATTGTCACTGTCAGTATTATTGAACTGCGATACTCAATATACTGCTGTATTCACCGTTTTCGAGCCTTTCGCGATGCGCGCACTTTGAGTTCGATGGTTTCAGAGAGTGAAAGTCGACTATGCTGCTACTGTGTTGAGGCGTGACAGGACATGACCAAATTGTGGATCCGGGGGGTAGACCCTGAGTTTGATTGGGTTTGCTCCGACACCACACTACATCATCCTAAAAATCAGTAAAATCGGATCCATGTAGAGGAGATACGAATCTATGATGGGTCAAATTTGTGAAAGAATATGTGATATGATCGGAGAGCTACAAAAGATTCGTTGAAAATGTTGCATATTATCATAATAGGCCTTCACGACACAGTGGGGATTGAGTTTAGTAGATGCCGGGTATGATGCGGTACCTAACCGCATTTGCCCACCTCTGCCATTCGTCTCCGAACATTGACTTCACGACCTCTTCCTCTTGATTGATCCTGCGCACGAGGCTTGTCACAGTAATCGTTCTCTCCAACAACCATGCCAGGAGAACTAGTTTCACTCCAGGGAGATCTAAGACCCCTGATTGTCTAACCCACGAGGTCGCAGATCCGTGCAAGACCGCTACACCGATATACTGCAAAATAGCAGCTGCGTAGGAGGGATGGCGTACGATCGAATATGGTCCACTCGTGACAAGCTGGTGACCCTTGCGAGCAGTAAGCTCGAATGTGAAGAAATGACCAAGGGTCCGAAAACACGACCAGCGGAGGTATCCCGCTGAGGCAACAAGTGCGGTACCGAGAATGAAAGGACGAGTGATTGGCACGTCCTGGATTCTTGGAAGAAATGGACCGATTGTGCTTTGCACCACGCTAGGAAGTGTTTTGAGGTCCGTCATACGAGACATGATGAGAGCTATTTCTGCCAAGGAAATACCCCAGTAAACTATCTGGGCGTAGTTCCATCAAAGAGGATTGTGGACAATCGTAAACAGGTACCTTTGAGATCGGGAGCCCGTATCTAACGTGCTGGATGATGACCCACTCATTGAAGGTATCATGAACGACCTCGCTCTTCGATGGGGCGTGCGGGGGAGTGAGCGCTACGTGCACAGCGACAGCAGACGAAAGAATGAGTGGGATTTTGAGGAGGGACATTTTCATAAAGAACCCTTGACCCTTTGGTTACTTTTATAGAATCCATCGCGGAGTACGGCAGGGCGGGTAATTTAACAAGTTACCTGCCAGTATATGCGTTGTCACTGACCAGTCTTGAGGCAGCACGGAGGTTCCTACCCAATGTGATTGGAGCGGATATACCGTATTTACAACAGGTGACAATTGAGTTGACAACTTTGATTCTTCCACGCGAGTCTAATTGGTCGATATGTTTAAAGTTTTGTCGTGCGGGCCGTATGAGTAGTGAAACAATAAGAGAATGGAGAGAATAAGGAACAAAGAAATAAGAGGGATGTATCCGCGTTAGCATGACGTAGCTGGCAATGTGCCTGGCAGACGGAAGCTGGTGACAACCTAATGATGATCACCTCGCCCGGAGGCTCTACTGACTAAGCTTTGCAAATGGTGGAAAATACCCACCTGCACTACCCCCGTTGGAGGGTTACCACCCCAGCGTGTTTCGGATGCGAAGAGTTTTACTCTTCGCATCGATGAGACACGAGGACGGTTTCACGTCTTGTTTGGAGATACTGGATCGGCGCGTAGAGGATATACGATCCTTACATGAGTCTGACTCGGACATGGGGCTCTTGGCAGGCCGATTAGCGAAGATCTTGGTATCAAATCGGAGATTCTTGCATAGCGCAGTGTTTGACTCAACGTCCCTGCTCATAGTTAAGCCTGAACTGTTCATATGAGCGCAATATGAAAACACTCACTCCCGGAAGGTATTGCCAGCAACTGTAGCTAACTTTGGACGTTTGCTGACGAGGAACAAATTAATTCCTGTATATCAATCATCTGAGGGGTACGAGCATGGATATGCATGTGAAAGTGATAAAACAAGGTCTCGATCGACCTGTTGCTCACAACGTGTAAAAAGTTCGTGGGGACGTGTAAGCCTTCAAGCCCAGAATTGAACGTGAGACTCGGATGCACGAGATGTTGGATGGGTGGCAGTGAAACACAGAAAGCCAATCACATCTGCAGGTATCCTTACAACACAGTGAGAACACGGATTGAACTCCGAGTTGCGCCTGCGCTGCGCTGTCTGCCAGCTGTGAAAGACCTTGGAATCTCCCATTACTAAGGATCTAGAATTGATCTAGAAGTTGTCGAGCTTCATGGATCTGGTCAGTGGGAACGCCGCACCAAAGCTCGACGGCTTCGAAGTCACCGCCGCGTATTTTGATATCCACCAATTCTCATATGCCTTCGCCACTGTGGTGGGCAAGGACATGCATACCTTGTGTATGGCGAGCGAGCTGCATGGACATCACGACATCAATGCCACGCGTAAATAGAGATTCCCTTGATCTTGCTCGGGGCAACGTCGACAGCCTTCTCGAATCTCGACATCGTGGCTCTCTAAAATTGTCACGCAAGAGATCCAGGAGATCAGTCGCCGTCAACTGGGAAGGAGTTCGGAAGGAACCGGTTACTCGTCTTGCCCAGAAGTTCCAGAACTAGAGTCTAGGTGGGTGTGAGCCCCCGGCATCCGACAGCCACAACAGACCAAACAAAGCCAAGCGCAGTGGCCCCGGTATATTGTCGGAGAAACTACTTGTTTGTGCGCTGCTCCAAGCCCTTGCGTAGTTTCTTGTGCGCATATATGTTCAACCTCTACTTGCAGCTCATTCTTTCTCGCCACTAGTGACTCACGGTTATCCACTCATCAATCATGCTTATGCATTCCTGGATGTCAAACGTTAAATATTGAGCCCTCAGCACTTTTACTTGTAACTTTAGTCAATTCTAGAAGTTGCGGCAAGTTTAGGTTTAGGCTGCCGCCTGAGAGCAGAGCTGAGACATGATGCATGATGCATGGCGCGGACGAAATCCTTCTTATGAAATTTCCATGTGTCCATCATGATCCAAGCCTCCGTCTTGTCGGCGAAGGTTCGTCGCTCTTTGTTGCTTCCTCGTGGCGGCGATATTTATCTTCTTTACCCACTCTCCTGCGGAAGTGTTACTTCTATTTGATGGCTGAGTAAAGCCATTGCAAATATATCCCTTCCAGACAGTGGCCCTAGGCTAGGCTTCCAGATCCTCATACGAATAGTCTGATTTTAGTAAGTACTGATTTCTAATTGGTGCACAAGTTTGACCGTCATCACTGACGAGTATCCCTTTTTGTCCTCTCCAACATTTTTGCTGTGTTACCGCCGGTATCGATTCGCAACAATGACCAAAGGAACATCTTCTTACAAGTGAGGGTTCTGTAACAACGACGCACAAGACACGACACGGTGATAAGTGCAGCGACAAAACACTACCAGTTGTATACGTCCGAAAGACCATCCGACTCGACATGTTCTTACAAAGCAGATGTGGACATTGGTTCCAACTTTAACTTTAACTTTTACTCCTCGGTCAGGATAATTCACACATAGTACGCTGGGCGGATTCCAAGCCCCCACAAGCAATAGTTACATTTCAGATACACAATCCGAATAGCCAGCTTTGCAGACTATTAAAATGTCAAATCTTGAGCTTCCCCACTGGAATCACGATGGATGGCACGTTTTCGTAACAATTACAGACGCTGCTGACTTGGCTCCATAGTACTTCGCACGCGGATACTATGGAGCAGTTATTCAGCATCAGGTCCCTCGCTTACTGATTTTTTTGATCATCCGATGAGATCACTCGGCCAACCGTTGTATGTTTTTGGATGCTTTGATGTTTGTCGGCCCACCTCTTTTTTAATACTCACGTATAATTGACCCATGGCTGCCAGTTGCTGTACTACACAATATAGTGAATCGTTGGTCGCATCTAAATATCTGTGAGTTGTCGCGCAGTCTCAGCCAAGTAACATACCCTTGGGTGAGGGTACAGCTTCAAACCATTTGTATTTTGATTCCAAGTCACTTGGTATGCCACACAAACCAATTGCAAATACTAATCATACACGAAGTACCAAGGTACAAGACATTCGGGCCTATTGAAATTTAAACAGACGCTTGATGTGGTCACATTCAACACACGGCTTCAGTACACGCCAGGTATAATCCGATACTTCACATTTCTCGCCCACGCTTCCCATTCTTCTCCGAAGGCAGAATGCATCATCCTATCTTCTCTCTTCATTCTTGAACATAATGCGAAATTCACCGCTGTACAAAAAATGGAAGTTCCAGCGACGACCGGTAACACTCCGGGGATCCTTGCTGATACACCAGAAGCCCTTAACCATGAATTGTGAGAGCCATGCAGAATGATGATTCCAAGGCACAACATCATCATTCCTGTGTAAGAAGGGTGCCGGACGATCGCGTAAGGACCGGTGGTGATAAGTCGATGGTCTTGGCGTACGCTGAGTAGAAACGTGAAATAGCGACCGAGGGTTCGGTAGCAGAGCCAGCGGATGAATCCACCGCTAGTCACGAGGCTAGAGCCCACAAGGAAAGAAGGAGTAATAGGGACATCTGTGAGAGTGGTCAGAGCTTCGGATGCCGTTCGCAAAACTGATGGTATTTTTGAGGAGTCGACGTGGCGAGCTATGATGGCAGTTATTTCAGCCACTGCCCCCACCCAGTACAACCCCTGAGCGAACCTTGTTCAGTGAAAATCTCCTAAAAATACGCAGAATTCGGACGAACGGCTATAGTTTGCGAGGGATATCTCATTTTACGAAAATAAGATGGGAGACGAATCAGGGTCCGACCATTATGATATAACTCCTTGTCGGATGCAGAATGAGGAGGAGTGACTGCTACTTGGACTGCGATAGCTGATGAGAGAACCAGAGGTATTTTGAGAAGTGACATGTTCCAGTTGAATGGGTAACTTGTGGCATGTCTTTGATACTTTAGTACTGCACCGACACCGTATGTACGGGATTGCACGGATGGACGATATTAATAGAGTGCTACGTGCCGTGACGTAGAATTCGAAGTGCCACGAGGTGCCACATCGATGGAAGATCTGATCCCGAGTTTTTGGGGCTGTCAGGCACATACCATCATGCTGGATCTTTGGGGTTGGATTTGCCGTTATGCCGTATGCAATTTTCACAGTCCGCTATATACATGCAAAACACTCAACACTGCCGTTGGAAATACTGCAGCGGACTATGAAAAAATGTATTCGGCATGGACACCATGACCGGGGCCCCGTACTTTTCAACTTGAACGTAAGCCGTAAGCGCCCCTCGGAGGCAGCCTTCTTCATTTACCAATGCTGCGGATGTCTTTGGGTAGCACCGTTTTATCGATATTTAAATTTACACCATCTCACTCCTATAGCCTAGATCCACGGCGGACTACCACTGGCATCAATTACGTCTTGACGCAGGTGTCATACAAGCGGATCCCGGCCGCTCTCGCTCTTATAAAATGGCTCAGTTGTATCAAGCACAACTGCAATTGAACATCAGTACTCATGGCTCAAATGGCATCTCCTCATGCGCTCTACATATCAGAGATATTGTTTGTTATCTCATACCACCTTCAGGATGACAGGAAAGCGCTAGCACGTCTTGCTCGTTGCTGTCATGCTTTTTCAGAACCTGCTCTGAGTGTACTATGGTCCTCAGTCCGGTCTTTCTCGCCATTCATTCCCCTCCTACCGCCGACCGTGAAGTTCTTATGGGTGAGCATACAATCATTGAAGCCATTACGTCATACTCAAGAACTTTTAGGACCACAGTCAGTTTGACGAAGTGACCCTTGCCGAATTCCAGTGCCCGCCTGAAGAAGAATGGAGGGTATTTGACAGTTACGCCCGCAAAGTGCGCAGGCTATATTCTGGATCGCATGGTCACCAAATAGTAGCCCGCATACGCTCCGAAACCACTTTATTCCCTTTGCTACGATCCCTGTCTCTTCAACTCATTGAGCCCCTTGATATGCAAGGCCACCTCTTCCCAGACTCGCTACGCTCTTTGAAGATATCCGGACCTGCATATGTACACTGCGAAGATGACCGCGTACAAATGGCCATCGCACACGTAGCCCGCGATGCGCCGTTGGTAGAATATCTTCAAATCGAAGATTATACCTATTCTGTTGCTCAGTCGTCACTGCCGCCTCTCCATTTTGCTCATCTCCGAGCTGTCGACATATCTGCATTTTTCGATTACACCCTCCTACAGTCTCTATGTCACATCCTTTCCGAAGCACCTGTTACACAACTCAAACTCGAGCTTCCACCACTCCCAAATAAGGAGTGGAATATTTCAACTCCTGTCTTTCCCGCTCTAAAATCGTTGAAAATTTGTGGTCCTCCGGCTTCTGCCGAACAATTCATATTCCATCTTGCCAGCAAGGGTCTTCAGGAGCTTAGTATCCACCACACAAGAGGACCCGCAAGCGTTGCGGATTACCGTCAACTTCTTTCGCGTATTGCGGATAAATACAGCAATACTCTTCAGCAACTCTCGCTGTCACTCAGTCAGTCGTCCACCCCGGGCTATCCGTACGATCTTTCCCAAGCAGTCCTCGATGCCTTTTACGCACTCGCACCAAGCTTCAGTCGACTAGAGACTCTACACCTGTCATTGCCACATAATCGCTACGTTCATCTAGCGCCTGAGCTCACATTTGAGTCTCCTACATGGCCATCTCTCAAGCTTCTTGACTTTCAAGCGGCATAGTGTTTTATGATGCGGAAGAGCTGAAGGGGCGCCCGGTGCTGTATATCTTAGGAAGTATATATAACGTGTTGATCAGGTGTTAGGTTGCTGTTAATGCGAGTGTAGAACATGAGAAGACTGTGGCAGTGTGGGAGTGTTGGTGAGAACGGTGCGCGTCAAGGGGGAAATGTATGGTGGACGATAGGTTACGGTTCGATTTGCCGATTTGCCGCGACTTATTTTTGAATTCCGATCGATGTTTGTTTCAGTACTGTGAAATTTATTAATGTATACCTATAATTTACTTTCACCATGTTACGGTCCTGTCACAATCACACATCAGCGCTTCAGCGTGCACTCTACAGACATGCTACGTTCTCAAAACGTCTTCCAACCTGAATACCTTTGGCCAGAAGACTGGCGAACTATTTGTCAGTACACCTTTGGTACACCTCAAATATTCCCGTCACAAGAGGTCACAAACGGCCGTGTACTTACATGGACATAGTTTGACTGCTCTAAGATTTGATTACGGACCGACCCTGGCCTGACTCAGTCTTAGAGACGATAGATGAATTCATGCCTTTACAATATATTGTTCAAATGGAGCATCGGTAAGTCAGTTAGAAGAATGAAGTATGCTTCTAATGAGTGATCTGTGCTTCGTCCGTGGTCCAGTTTAGGCTTATAAGCAGTGAGTATCCACTGCTGCGAACCTTGTTGACTTGCATCCCTTTTACATAGCCCTATCACATTCCTTAGATGCCCAACCCTCAAGGAAGAAATGGGTACGCTATTGCTCGTAAGTGCATTGATGCTAGTGCTAGCAGCTCTCATATATTTAATGCCTAAGTTGCAGCTTCGGATGAAGCTATACGACCGCTAGTGGAACGATTTGTTGCAAGTGGCTACACCAACCCGGAAATCATTTCTTGTCTTCGAGAACAAAATTTCAATATATCATACGTTGCATCCAGTCAATCATGCTTGTACTGGGGTGGATCCTTGGTTGGGATGGCGTATACGTTTGTTGATGAGATGCTGAAAACTGGTAAAGTGAGCCAGGATGTTGTGGATCTTATACCACATCTTCGTGTTGTTCGTGCTGCGCTGGCTATCCCCGATGGTCTTGATGGCAGCCTCGATGCTATCTATCTTGTAGAGGAGAAGATCCACGGCAGATTCATCAAGTATATCAATAACAATTCCGCTGTTGCTGCTGACAGCCTTCATGGCCGAGAAGTAGTCATTGGACTATTCCTATGCTTCGTACAGCATGTCCAATATCAGCTTACCAATTCAATGGTTTACCTCTCGGATTTCCAAGGTAACTCTACTGCTACTGGGGAGAAGGTTGCTGATCAGCGTATAGGTGCTGGTGATCTTCTCACCGATTGTCAAGTGATTACAGGCTCGTCTGTCGACATTTTCTCCTTGCAGTGTCCTTCTAGACTTACACAACTTTCAGCGATTTTGCGAACAATTTCGGTGATGGGAACTGCACTATAGTGTTTGACAACTTCAAGTCAGAGCACAAGTGTAACAAGTTTTGTCATGCATTTGGATTGCAAGCCTTCATGTAACAAAAATACATTCATGTACCTTGAGACGTTTACGAAGAAATGTTTATCCTTGATGCTTCCTTCTGTTCTCTCCGAATCCTATTCAAACGACGTGCCGAGTCGCTGACAGCATGCTTTCAACAGCGCAGCGTCACAAGAGCAAATGGTGGGTCATTCGATTTCGATGACGTCGACGAAGTGTAGATACTGTAACCAAACCTGACATGTGTCAAGATACCATGATTGATTAGTTAAAGGATGACATACCGGCCCTGGCCAGTCTTCTGGCCAAAGGTATTCAGGTTGGAAGACGTTTTGAGAACGTAGCATGTCTGTAGAGTGCACGCTGAAGCGCTGATGTGTGATTGTGACAGGACCGTAACATGGTGAAAGTAAATTATAGGTATACATCAATAAATTTCACAGTACTGAAACAAACATCGATCGGAATTCAAAAATAAGTCGCGGCAAATCGGCAAATCGAACCGTAACCTATCGTCCACCATAGAAAAGCTATTATGAGACGATACCGCTGACCATGCGTGGTGCTGCTGACTATACGATCCCACAAGAAAGGCCCATGGCTTACTACATCTAGGTGACAAATTCTTGTCTTCCCGCGAAGCATGATGTCCACTTGCATTCATTGTATTCACAGGAATCCATGGACTTTACTAATGGGTGAGCGTCACTCTCGAGCAATATGAGACACTCGCACCCATGATATAGTACCAGTATCAAAAACACCTGGTCTTGTATTAACTCACATCCTCACTTCTCGCCAACCCCAACTTATCCTCCCAACAAGTACATGATAAGAGTTTGACTGATTAGCCATGGTCTCAAGTTTTCGCGCTCTCTACATTTCCGAGATTCTTTCAGAAATCACATCCCAGCTAGAGGATGATAGGCAGTCCCTTTCATGTCTTGCACGTTGTTGCAAGGCATTCTCAGACCAAGCTTTGGATATCCTGTGGAAACGGATGAGCCTTTTCTGTCCTTTCATTCCCCTTCTGCCCCCAAAAGTTTTAACACTTTGGGTACGTATTATTCTTGAGCGGGTTTGGACTGGTATAATTTTGACGCATCCTACAGGTGGAATACCAGTTCAGCGCAGAGAGTATCGCAGGCTTTCAATGTCCCCCTATGCATGAGTGGCGAGCGTTTGATGCTTATGCTAGGCGTGTGCGGATTTTATACAGCGGCGCCTCGCACTTCCTCGCAGGTGTGGCCACCATCCGAGCAGACTTTAACGTCTTCCCCTTCCTTCGATCCATAACGATGCAGCTTCAGGAACCTATACAGCCCGGGATCCGGCTGTTTCCCGAAACACTACAAAGGTTGCAAATTTCGGGCCCCGCATACATCAACTGCAAAGATTCCTGTATCCAAACTGCTCTTGCGCACGCAGCGCGCGATGCACCCTTCCTGAAACATCTGCACGTCGAAGACTACAGCTACAACAGTGACCGCCTGGACACGCCACCCCTGCATTTCAAACACTTGCGAAGCGCCGAGATATCCTCATTCATCAGCTCTAATGTCCTTGGATCATTATGTCGTGTGCTTTCGCAATCACCCGTGATCGAGCTCAAGATCGAGCTTCCTCCTACTAGCTGTATATGGGATACTCCACAATCCCTCTTTCCACATCTGGAGAAGCTGGAGATAGGCGGCACCCCTGCGCTTGCGGAAGCCTTCATCACGAATGTTTCTAGTCCGTGTGTCCGCTCGCTGACTGTCAAGCACAGTCGTGGGCCCGCACGACTGACAGACTGCAGCCGGTTATTCTCTACCATCGTAAAGAAGTACAGCTCATCACTGCAGTCGCTATCTCTCACAATCAGCCGCTCGCCAGTACTCCATAATCACGATGGCGTGGCGCATGATATAATGGATGCGCTGTTCCCTTTGATGCCGAACTTCGAGCACTTGGAGGAACTTCATTTATCATTGCCCAGTGCAACTCAAGTTGACGACTACCCTGCTGTTGAAGTGTCTGGTTGGCCAGCTCTGAGGCGGGTGGAGTTCATGGCCACATGATGATTCACAGAATGATCACGAGAGGCCTGAAAGCTGGTTTTCTTTCAATAGTGAAATGGCCGGACCATAGAAATGTTTTGATCACATGTATTTGTATCTGGGTACTTATGAACTATCGAGATCTGCACTGCAATGATACTCATAGGGTGAGGGAAACAATATACTTTTGGGCACATTGACAGGCCTAGGGACGCACATAATGCGTAGCCATGCAAGGTGTCAAAGATCACCGGTACTTAACCGAGAACAGATAACAATCAGATGGAACAGCATATATCCAACCCTTACCAATCACCATCGAATCCAACAAATCCTGTGCAGGCGGTCAGTTACAAACAGTCATCAAGTTTTATAACAAGCATACCTGTGAGTAAAAACACAGGGAAATACCTCTTCTTTTCCAGTTGTGCACACCAATTCCATGCGCTGGTCAAACGGCCGTCGATACAGCTTCCCGCGTCAAAGAAGTTATCGGCTCCAGAACCATCGAAGCCATGCTGGAAGAAATCGCACAGGATCTCGCGCATACAATTATCTATCGAGCCGAAGTCATCCTCGATGTAGGAGCGTAGCGCAGGCTTTTCCGCAAGGCTGGGTATCTGTGAGAGGGTATTACAGATAGGCAGTAGGATCCGGTAGATCTGGGAATATTTATCTGTACGAAGCATGTATAAATTAAGACGCGGGCGGCGCTGTGATAGTAAAACGTACCGATGAACATGAGTGCGTTGGGCACATTATGGTCGCCCATGTGGATGGCGGACGAACCAATCCAGGTTCCCACGCTTTGTTGCGCACGGTGTAGGATCGTGTGCATCATACGGAAGGTTTTGGGAGCTGCTTGCACACGATTTAGCCCTTGGCCGGTATCCCTCAGCCGGTAAGGTACGTTCTCCGCAAGTAAGTCCTGTTCAGCGAGCGACCATAACCGGAACATGTCTGTCGAACAGAATTAACATGACAAATAATAACACCTTCAGAGACTAACCATGCAGGATTTCCCGCCATAAGGTAAGACTCTGTAGGACATACGCGTATTGTTTTGCATGATCGTGACTAAGTCTTGCGCCCTGCTTGCCACTTCGTATTGCCAAGCTAGACTTGTTGTCTTTTGCTTGCGTTGGATGGAAGTATTGCTTCAAGTACGTGATCATCTTTTCGCAGGGATCTCGGTTCGTCCGCAAGAAAGCGTGATTATCGCCGATGCTGTATATGCATTGACGAACTTGGTCCTGATTTAACCCCGAGCGCTGGTATTTCGAAGCGAGCGTCTCAATCGCGCGCTCCTTATTTTTGATATCCCGCTGGACTTCTCTTTTTGAGCGTCCTTCAGAATAGATTTCCTGCGTGGCAACTATGATGAGATCATCTCGCAACATGTCGAGAGCATCTTTTTCTTCAAGAACGGTGTACACAGACACAATGGGTTTGACGCAAGAAAAGCTGAGCATGTCTCGAACGTCTGGGGACTGGCTGTCCTATGGAGAGCAGTGTTTGCATAGACAGAGACTGTGAAGTTCAGAGCTTACCTGTAACAAATAGATCAACTTTCCATACGTCGTGCGCATTTTATCTGGGTTCATGATTTTATGTCTCCGACCGAGCTCAAAGATAGTCTGGTAGAAGTCCGCATTGGACTGAAAATCGCGATCAGTGAACAATTCTTGGCCCTGCTTGTAGTCTGCGGCAAGGACGAGTCCTGATAGAATCGCACACAGCTCGCGAATCTGATGCACGATACGCTTCGGCTTCGAAAGTCCAAAGCCCAGGGTGTCGATCTTATCTGTGTACTCGGATACCTGAAGTGCAGCGTCGAGGAGGCGTAGGTACTTGCGCTCGCCGTACGTGAGTCGAAGAGGGATGTATTTCGAACGGTCGACGAACCACTCGCCGACTTTGGATCCAATTGTAGGTTGGGCGCCTAGTAACTGGGTAGAGACGGGCGCCTTGGATGCTTCGATTGATATACGGTCGAGTTCTTCATCAGAGTCATCCATATCAACATCGTTTTCTTGCTGAGTACAGAAGTAAGTGTCGGATCCACCACAGTCAAGCCGAAAAATTCGTACCTCCCCATTTTTCTTGACATCCTCCGCCACACCATTTTGCACCGACCTGGACTTGGCGCTACTTGGGATTGGCTTTGCAATGTGCTTCTTTCTTGACCCCTTCCGGTGCTGCGCCGCAAAGCACACCTCACAGTAATTATCTGCGCATGTATCGCACACAACTTGAGCAGGCTGATCTATATAGGCGGTAAGTTCGACCCCATCCATACGATAACTTCCTATCAAACACACACCTTCGCATTCCATGCAAAACCCGTCCGCAGCAGGCCTCACAGCTGATTCTTCGTCCCATCCATGACCGGGTTCGGTAGCATCGCCTGAATCTTTTTCCTTGAGTCGTGGGTGTTCAACTGCTTCATGGTTCGTGCCGAGGATGTTTTCTAGGGTGAAATTGCCACTCGTGGATCCATCTGGTCGTAAGGTAGGTTCTATAGAGGCTGATGATGTGTTTATGGCCATTATTTCTAGGGATATGACATCTATCTGTTCAAGGTTTGCACGAGAAACGGTGAGAAGCGAGTAAGGGACGCGTGTATGAGGGGAATTCTGCTGCCAGTGTGACACGCCTGACCGTCCTGACGTAAGGCGAGCGTGTAAATATCTCAAAAAGTTGAGCAAACGCTCTAATATTATGTAATATTAATCCGCGAACATACTTATGATACAAATGGGTGGTGCAGCGGAATGGAAATCATACATGATGAATGAACGAATGTGGGGTGATGACAAGGAAACCGATGTTTCACAAGTTCCCAAGCGTACGGCGCCAAATCATATCGACAATACCCTTGGTTTGTTCTATCCGTTTGCCAGCCCGCTCCTCATCCGCTACTTGTTCATCGCAATCCTCTCTTTCCAATGCGCTGTGGTCCACATCTGTTAAATGCGATCGAGGCGGATCGGGGGAATTGATTGCCGGTATATGAGACGTTTGGAACTCAAGTGGAGATGGCGGAGAACGCTTATACTTGTGCCGAGAGCGGGAGCTATGAGACGACAAACTTCCAACACTTGGAGGATAATCGTGCGGCACCAGAGAAGACGTGGAGTGTGGTATCGATGATGGAGAGGCGGTTTCGCTGTATTTTCCCTTGGACTCTTCAGATACAACTATCGTCTCTGCGTCATCTCCAGTTGACATCCTTGTGTAAGGGAGTCGAGGATTCTCTATATCGCAATGAGCATCGTCCTCGCCGTCTTCTGGCGCACGAAAGAGCGGTTCTCGATCATGCATATCAGACATACGGGGTGAATTGGTGAGAAATTCGACTGAGCTTGAAGAGGCTTTAACAATGGAATCGATGAGCCAGAATTGAAGGATGTTCATGATGATAGGGAAGAGACCCATGACGCTACGAAGGCATGATAAGACCATTATAACCATGAAGAAAGGACAACGCACAATATAATTTGAAAGGCATCGCCGTTACCGATAGCAGTCCAACTAAGCAACCAGTCCCCCACTTTCGATATCCCTGGCCACACTGTAAACAACCCTACAACGAGCATTTTCATCGTCGTCAACGCAACAACGTAGACTGCGGCTTGACGCGCCCAATACGACATTGACGGCGGGGAACCATATTGTCCCGACTCGTAACCTTTGAGGCGGAATCTCTTTGCGAAGAGGTATGTGAGACCATGGTGCACGACGTATATTATAGCAACACCTATGAAAAAGGTGAGCATTGAAGGTAAGAGTGAGATCCATTGATATTCACCAAGAGTGGTATCGATGAGAACATTGAGAAAGTAGTAAGTACAGGCATTGCCGGCATTATGATGTGAGCCAAGGTTAGAAATCAGAACGTTGACGCCGTGTACAAACATCTGTCCAACAATTTGCTTGGATACATCAAAGAGCCTGTGTGATTGTAGAAAGTTTCAGTGGTCTCCTACATCGCTGTAAGCCACGAGGACGAACCATATTCTCCAAGGTCGTTTCTGTGGTTCACGATGCCTCTTATACACAAGTGAAAGTATTACGAGGACACCCATGAGCGCCTGGACAACCTGATGGATGATGTGACATTGTGAACCTCTCCTGTGCGGTGTTCTATGAAAGAGTTTTGACCTACCAAAGCAGTCGGACCAAGCAATTGACATGAACGTCGATCCAGCGGAAAATCATTGTCGATAATACGTGCAACAGAGAACATGGCTGGTTGAAAAGGAAGACTGCGGCTGCTCGCAAGTGTGCGAACTTCTTGGACGTGCCAGTGATGGCAGCTCAAGTCATCTCCTCTCCTTCTCAGCTGGTATGCCCTATTTTGGTAACTTCACTTTGGTGAGAACAAGATTTCGGTTCGTAATAATAAGCTTCACATGTATGAAACAACTGGGACTCCGCTTGAGCATATAATTTACTAGGTAGCTACAATACTTGTGGGCATCTCCATGCACTCGTTGTTTTTTTAGGTATAATTAATACTTTAGGCCGTATAATTCGAGGTCATATGTTTGTGCTGCAGCATCGACAGGTTGAGCATTTCAAATGCGTTTGTTTGCTGCGGGGATGGGTTTAATATTGATTACTATTTGGCAAGAGCTTTAGAATTTAACAAACACAAACAACCTTCTACCGTTTGCGGCTGCGGCCACGACTGGGTTAATATTTGGATTCACTACAACTACCATATAATGTCCTTTTTCTCCAGATCTTCCCAACCATCGCCTTCCCCGTCATACTCAAGTGTTCCTCGTGAATCTGTTCCAAGGCCCATGGCACGTAACCTTCCTCCACAGACACAATACAACGACCCTTCTCAGTCTCTCTTCGAGAAAAGATCATACGATCGCAAGCCCCCTCCGTCACGTTCTGGTCCTGGAATGAGGTATGTCTGAATTACCCTACACGTCTACTCATGCTAAATACACTTATAGCTACGCAGTAGTTACTATGCCAAACGAGGGTCTTGCTCTCAGGAACTGCTTGGTTGTTTGCCCCTCGGACTTTCCAAATGGTGCGCAGGTTTTGGTACGCAAGATAGATCGTGATTCCGTGCAAAGGGAATACCCCTTTACAACATGG